GAGAATCATATCAGAGCATTGTGAAATTACACAAATTTACGTTAAAAACGTGAAACAATATAAAAACCTGCGCAATTTTGCATACTTGAATGCTCAATTAATGTCAGCGGATTGTGTGATGATAAAACATCTGTAGATTTGCATACATATGACTAAGAAAATGACGGGATGATAGTGCAAGTTTTGGTGCCTTTCATTTTCTACGGAAATTCAGTGTCATAAGAGAATTGCTGCTATCGTCGTCGTCGTCTTCATCATCGTCGTCGCAGATAGCGTAAACAAAAAGTCAACACGTAACTAATCTTCATCAACCTGTTGTGTTTCGATTTGAGCGTGTGTGTGTGTGTTTGGTTGGAATTCTTCGTCGCTGCAACGAACATACCGGAACGACGGTACATTTTATTTACATATTTTAATTTCGTTTTAATTTGTCTGTCTATTTATAAACACGGGGCATTGTGGGCAACAACACGACCAACAGAACACCCATACACCTCGTGGAACACCTTTTTTTCCTTTCTCCGTCTCTTTCAAATCCATACATACACATCGTGTGTGTGTGTCGTCATGTCTCACCTTGCTCACTCGATCTCTCGATGCCAGAGCATTTAAAGGGAACAGTAGAAAATGTAATAATTTATAAGACAGATCCAAACAAAGTTATTTAGATAAAAGTTAAGAGAGAAAGAAAATGCACGCACAAGCCTAACAACACATTTTCGATGTTGAGAATTTCCACAGTACTTGCAGTACGTTCACTGAAGACACTTAACCATTTTTGTTTTCGAAAAAGAGATACAGACTCTCAACTTTATGCAGCACGCATCCGACCAACCGAACAAAAAACAATTATTCGGTTTTCGTGCTGTTGTTGCGTTTATTATTTTGTTTCGTGTGTATCTTTTCTTTCATTTCTCTTCAGTTGGTTCTATTGTTGAGCGTCAAAGCTCACGAGCTGCTGCCGTGTTCTTTCTAGATTTTGTGTGTGTGTGTTTGTTTGTGTTTTTCTTCTCTTTTCCTCTATTTCATGCTCTTTCTCTCTTTTCCTTCTATCGCGGCCTCACTCATTTACTCTCTCTCTCTATTTCTCTCATTCATTCACTCTCTCTCACTCACTCGATGCACGAGAGATATGGGAAAAACATGTATGCAAAGTGTAAAAAAAAAACCAATAAACGGAAACAATAGCATTTCCTTTGGCTTTTGTATGCACAAACAAGATTGTGAAGTACGACGCGCAATGGTGATCATCACATCGACAACAACGACGACACTATGGGCAATTTAAAAAAAAACAACACCCAAGAATTTTTTCACTGTCTCCGTGTCGCCTCGCGTTGCTCTGTCTCCAACACTCGCTCGCTGTATGTGTGTTTCACTGTGTTTGTCATGCAATTGAAACAAACGTGTGAGCGGTAACCGAAAAGCTAATCAAGTTTTTTTCTATGTTCGGGAGGATCGCGTGTTTGTAACTGCAAACCGGCAAACGAGTGTGTTTAGCACGTTTTCAACACACATATTATTTCTGTTGCATTGTTATCAACGGAGTGTGAAAGAGCTAGAGAACTGGAGAAAAAAACAAGTGAGTGAGAGAGTGAGAGTGATAGATCGATACTAGTAACACCAACTAGTTCCACTCTAGAGAGTGTGTAAAAGAAAGGGGAAATGCGAGATGGAGTGCGAAAAACATCCAAGAAATGGAATGCCAATGCAAATAACACAAACAACGACAGCAACAATGACGACGACGACGATTGATGGATGTGTTTATGGCGAAGATGAATACGGAATGAAGAATGCGCTGATCATCGATGAAAATTAAGAACTGAAGAAAAATGTACCCCCCTTGACACAACGTGTGTGTATGTATGTTACGTGACTACCTTTTGTCATTTTGAGTCAGAAACCGCATGCACATGCATCATATATGCAACACACCAACTGACATATTCGAACGCCCTTCGCGCTAGCGCACACACACGCCCGACAGCCAAATCATTATCGAAATTATATTCAAATCAAAACTGAACGTGCCAAGTGTTTCAATTGAGCTGAATACACTGAATACACTTCATTTCTTTTTTTTCCGCTGTCTATATTTTATTTTTTTGGGAGTCTCTTTCAAAACAACAAACGGAAAAAAAAATTCCATAAGTTTTTGGCTGAAGCATGAGTCATGTGGATATGACAGTCTGAGAGAGCGATCGATAGAGCGACAGTTTTGTATGTTAATTGAGAACATGCCCAGACTCGATTACTTTCGCAGCCAACTTCATCCAAAGTTCGAATGAGAATCGTGATCGGATCAGTTGTTTTTCTTCTTTGCTCTCTCTCTCTCTCTCTCTCTCTCTCTCTCTCTCTCTCTCTCTCTCTCTCTCT